GAGGGTTTCGTTACACCGGCCGTACAGACAATAGCATAAAGGCTTTTACTTGTCATCTTCGTGTTCGCGATGGTCAAGAGTTGTAGTGTGCAACATCTGTGCACCGGGCCCCAGTGCATAAACCGGGTTTTCAGCAAAAATACGTCGCTTCTTTTAATCAAAATATGCCGGAGGGAAAATGTCTGGTGATCGAATGCTTGGTAGTCTGTAGGAAGTACTGTCACAGCGTTGATACGGCTTATTGTACACCATTCTATAGAAGTGGCAGTGGGGCTTAACATTCATGAACCATGGAAAAGCACCGACAGAGAACAAGTACTCCCACGTGCGAGCTTAGTTAAAAAAAAATGTTCGAGCGATTTCCTTTTTCTTGGCGCATCATTCAGCAGTATCATTTGCAGAAATCATGCGCGGCGAATAAATATTTGTAGTACTTTAACCCAAATATATGCGACTAACAACCACCTCATACTTCAGCTATATAATGAAAATATACTAGAATTCCAAGACTAAGAAAAGAAGCTATGGCATACACTGCACGCCTTTTTATAGCAGATGCACGTTACGTACGTCATTGTGACCACTACCAATTCCCTCTCGGAGTGAAACTGCGTGCGTGTGTCTCTAGAAGATGTTAAGATCAGCCTCTTTGGCTCGGCGCCGCTTGGACGCGGGAGACGATTGCAGCTAAGCCTACCCTAATTTGTTTCAGGTCAACGCTCTCGAGGTGCGCCAAGACGGTCATACTTCAAACTCTTCAACACAAAACGACAGTCATACTTCGAATTCTTTAGGGCTGTTGGCTCCCCTCGTCAAAAACTCTTTGGACACGCCTGACTGACTGACGGCCTAGGAAGAGCTGTTTGAAATCGAGGCTGCTTGATTTGTTTGATGTGCCAATTTGTCCAATATGTCATTTCATGCAGCGGCCGCCGAACTTGTGCTGCTGTTCATAGTGGTACTCTCGGTTTCTGAAGCTGGATGAAGATAACTAAGAAGCCTGATTTTTACTGGCTACATAAAATGTGAAACGAAGCTATGAATCAAGATGAAAAAGAGACAAATCTGTGAAAAGTCAGTGCTGGCGCATAAATGGCGCGCCGATTGCGCCGATGAAAAACGTCGGCGGCGGCGGCGGCGTGGCGAAAACTTCCGGCGGCGGCGCGCCGACCAGTCGGCGCACACCTCTAGTTGCAGCTCCTATAGACACTAGCGCCAGAGTTCCCTCTAGTGTAGTTAAGAAACTCTATGCCGATGACCTCCGTTTCCCAAGTGACCGCCAATCGCCAATAATCTGGCAGGCACAGGAAATCTAGGAGGCGTTTCTCAAACAAAACGTGACGCCACGTTATAAATGGATGGATGCTAAGAGCTTCCCCTTTATATACGGGTGATGCCAGGATCGCAAAAATAAAATAAGGACAAATTTTTTTCATTGATTCACTGTTTTATATACTTTAACTATTCCTTCCTATTATCACAAAAAATTGTATGTTCCATTTCTACTTTTCAAGCAGAGTGACCTCATTTTTTCACTATTCCTGTCCTTTATCTCTACTTTTCACACGTGCAGACCAAATGACATCTTGTACCACATGCGTGGAAATATTTGCCCCGATAGAGTTTCATGCAATAAGACTCTGTAATTGCCCCCCCCCCCCCCCCCCCCCCAAAAAAAAGGCAGCGTCTTCTGCGCCGCGCGGTGCAGCAGCCATCCCCACACAGAACTGGCTTCTGCGCCGCACAAAAGTGACGTCACTTAAAAAATTATTACCTAAAGCTAATTAAATGTGTAAATTATTCGTGCGTAGTGCGTTAAACCTACAAAACTTTATTAAAAAGGTGTTTAACGAGTCAATTAGTTCAGGTTTGTTATTTAAATACAAATTACAAGTATTTTGAATACAGGGGGCGCCACGGCCGCTGCGGCTAAAGGTAAACACTGCAAGATAGTAGCCGCCTGCGATGTATTGATGGTGAAAACTCCGATGAAATCTTGGCCATGGCCTAGGCCACTCCCAAGGAGGACTGGAGTGTCGTCGCTGCTTCATGTGATTGCTAGATGCTTAGTTGAACCTGGTGGTTGGAGCTAGCGCGGCCATCCACCGCGCCGCAGCTTCATCTGAGTGTGTGCGTCATAAAGTTTCTCAGTATGATGTGCGGATTACAGTCCTTGGACGTACTGCATTTTCTAGATTGCAATGCCAAGCGTGGTGTTGTCAAAGGAGAAAGTGTTCTTGCTGCCTAGTTTTGCTTGTCGCGAAAGACAAGGTCGACGATGAAATAAATGCTTTCGCAGGGTTTACGTGTGACTGACCGGACGCACATGCATGAAACCCCAGTGCGTCGGCGAACTGTTCATACGATGGATGGAAACAACTTTATTGTAATGTTCTTAAGAAGCCTGTGATCTCCGAAGGCCAGAGCTACTGTATTGCCGTCTGTTTTGTCAAGTGCGAACACGTACGGCCGTTCTCATCCGTTGCTACGTGAATGCTCCAGTGCTGTCACAGGCCGCGCGTGTTTTTGAGCAACGCAGACAAGTAGTTAGATGGGCTAACGCCGTCGGCACTTGCCCTTGGGCATTGTTTATCAAGTGCTGATCGCCGAGAACATTGCGGTGACACGTCAGTATTTTTAAAGAAAGCGGCCTGCCGGTTACCTCGTCAGGTGATGGTACACTGAGCGACATAAAAAAAGTTGCCCAAGACTACGTTGCGGTGCACCTTTCTGTCATCAAGACTTTGATAAACCGTGGAAATCAACATTCCTGACACCTGTGCTGAAGAAACCAATGCAGCCAGCTGCATTCGAGTTTTTGTGGCTTTTTGCGTCTCGCCGATTAAGAGCACTAATTCGCAAAACACTTTATCATAATAAATATAGTCAATCCTGCAAGCGTCATCGAAGATCCAATATTAAAAGGGCCTGTGGACGGGACCACCACCAGCAGCAAGTTGGGCTGATGAGCAGGCGCACACTTTTTCGTTTGGACGTAATTTTAACGGCTTTTATTGTTATGTCTGGACGTACCGCCAGACACTCCTGACTATTCAAACAAAGCGCCTAACCGAAAAATGCAACACGTCACTTCTGTGCGGCACAGCAGTCGTTTCTGTGTGGAGATAGCTTGTGCGCCGCGCGTAGCAGCAGTCTCTGCCAAAAAAAAAAAAAAAAAAAGTCGTAAATGCTGGTTTCAAAGATTACTTATCAAAACGCGGTGAACAGTTTCGAAATCTAAAAGCCACCAGTCTTGATTACAGCAATTTTTACTTGAAGTGCTGTTCAAATTAAAAAAAAAGACTCATTGCATAAAGTTTCATGTAATATTATTTTATGAAACGTTGTGACTTAATGTAAAAATATTACGTAGAAACAATCATTTTAGGTCGAGCCAAGCGCGTGTCAAAGCCATCTGTGCGAACAACGTGGTTTCTCAACAGTGGCTTTCACGCGTCGCTATTCATATTTGTGGTAAAACTCTTATCTCACGCATAAGTGTATCATCAGGAGAAACTGATTACATGCCGCAGCCTTCGATTCACCTTGTGCAGCCATATTTCGTCTTCAACTGACTTGACAGGCAGCCATGGAAGCGAGTGTCGATACGATGTCGAGAGCAGCAGCTCCCGAGAGCAGCGATGCCGCTTCTCTCAAAGAGGTTGCTTGCCACGCGGAGTCTTGCGAAGCGCCTCAACCAGCCAAGTTCGATAGTGGAATGGCTCGTGTAAAGCCAGAGTAATAGCACATATTAATGTATCAGTTCTCGTTGCCTCGGGTACCTCCCGCACCCGAGGCAACGTCTTTGTTTTGAAAACATTGATGATAGCTTTAAAGGGGCCCAGCAACTTTTTTTTCAGCAACCACTGAATGGCTTAACTAAAAGATTTATCAGCTCACAAGTCGATCGCCGTCGCGCGCGCGTCTCACGAAGACTTAACTTTTGTACTCAGCTTGCTTTTTTTCAGGGTGATCATGGGTCCCGCGGTAATAACTATGCAGCCCGTGATACTCAAATCAACCAATGACCATAAATTTGGGTATACCAGGTCGTCCAAGGCGACGGACAACGATCCTTTGCTTGACAGCACTAGAATCATTGGTCCGGGGAAGACAAAGACCTCAAATAAAAGTTTGGAAGCCATTAAGAAAGGCGGAACTATTGCATCAAATGACACGTCAGTGAACCCCTCCGCTAAGGAGATCTTGCATGAACGGCGGCGACGCTATGCCCTCCGGGTAGGTAGCCATTTTTTTTTTTTTTTGTCAGAGGCGGCCGGGGAGCGCAGAAGCGCAGTCGTGTTTGCAAGCAGTGGCGTAGCTTGCAGGCGTGATCGAAAGCGAGCGCGACGAAAGTTTTAACTTCAAGAATTGTCGTGCATGATGTCAGCTTCACTGGAAGGCTACACCACTACCACGACCGCTGGATAAAAATTATCCAGCGGTTGTGCCACTACGCCGTGCCAGAAAGACTTCGAGCGGTACGAAGAGACGAGAATTGGCTGAGTGAAACCGTTCACGCTTCGTGCAGGCGATTGTGTAAACGATGTGTACTTGTGGTGGCGCGTCGACAGCCTCGGTATTCACGAATCTCTCGTTCTGACGACGATTTTGATTACCCGGGAGTGCTTGAAGTCCAGAAATGTCCCGTGGATGTTTTCTTGTTCATGGGAAAGAGTGATGGCGAGGTCCTGCCGTGCACTGCCTATGCATGGCCGGAAACGGCGAAGCCTGCTCCCATCTCACTGCACTGTTATTTATTCTACATGGAGTACAGCGTACATGCACAAGAAGAGTGATCCTTAAATTAACTTGTCTTACTTGATTGACGACAATCATGGTGCCCGCGGCGACTTTCTTCACCCACGGCTCCCACACCCAGACGCTCGTCACAAAGTTGTGGCCCTCGAGGGCATTTGTTGACTTCAACTGCTTCCGGGTAATCAAACTCATCCTCAGAATGAGGAATTCATAAATATCACAGCTGTCGAGGCATGGCCATAAGTGCCCATCGCTTACACAGTCACGCTTACGAAGCGTAAATTGGTCCACTCAGCAAATTCTCGTCTCTTCTTCGTACTGCTTGATGTCTTTTTGGCACAGCATTGCGGTGTAGCCTTCCAGTGAGGCTCGCATCGTGCACGACACTCTTTGGAGTTAAATTTGCGTTGCGCTCGCACTCAATCACGCATGCAAGCTACGTCAACACTCGTAACACGACTGCGCTGCTGCACTCCCCAGATGCTTCTGGCAAAAAAATGGCTGCCTATCTAGACTGCATAGCGTCGCCGCCGTTCGTGCAAGCTCGCTATATGCTGTGATGACTCGTGCATACTTTGTTTTGTATGACGCATGGCCGCTTTACGCATGCACAAAGCGATTGCCGACAGGTATAAGTTTGCGTTTCAAGCATACTTTGATCAGTTGTAAGTGCTAGCCTGTTCCATTGTGTCCTTTCTCTGTGTTTTATGTTTCCAGCTGGTTTTTATTCAATTAAATATAGAAGCAGTCATTTGGGTATATCTAAAAATAAGAGGGAATGATATTTAGCTGACTTTGATAATTAATTGTGAATTTCATGCTAGACTCTAATATTTGGCTCCCGTGTTCTTGGTATCCTCGACAACTGATTGGCAGCATTTTCTAGCCATGCTGGAAAAGTGTTGCAGAGCTCCTTTAAATGCTTATTCTTGGGCACATTGTGCATGTGTGTCTTGTGTACAAGTTACCTGGCTCTGTTCAGAGGTCACTTCTAAGTTCCTTTGAATTACACAGAGACATGTGAAGGCACATAAGAACACCGATTAGTGCTACTAGCAACATGGTATTTACATGTTGGACTAGCGCTGTGTGGTGTTTTTACTTGCCTTCTCACGTCTCAGTGTCGTTACAGCGTGCATCAAATGGGCTCAAATGATTCACCAAGGAGCCCATGTTGCAACCCTTGTCATCTGAATTCCTGCAATGTCAGCTGCCTTGTCTGACTTCTACAGCTGCTCGGTGATGTGCTGTGGCTTTATGAAGACCAAACATGTAGTTCCTGTCTTAAGGTCAATTTATGAAAGCAATCTTGTCTGGTCAACTGGTGAGCAGAGATTTTCAGAGTGGCTTTGTTACTGAGTTTCTGCCTCTAGCCATTGCATGTAAAAGCAGTCCGATATCACGCTACATCATTAGCAGACCTGATAGCGAAATACTGTGGAACATTGTCCCATTGCAATACTGTTGCAGAAATTTTCAGTCATGTCATTGTTCTCGTGGTAAAGTAACGAAGGTACTATAAGGTAATGATTATCTAACGGTCAATGTTTTACACCATCAGTTAAATAAAATGTGTCAGTCGTTGTAGTAATGTGCAGTGGCTAGTTACATGCCCTGGTCACATAGCACATCATCAAGTGTATAATGTGTCTACCAGCGTTGCTCCATCACATATACTTGTAAACCATTCGAACAAGATTATAGCTCTACAGACAAACTGGAATTCTCTATTAGTTTTATAATTGGGCAATCAGGCCTTACATAGTATGAGTACGCAAGCTATTTTCTGAAAATTGTGTGCATAGACAAAAAAAGGTTAGAGTATGAGCAATTTGCCGTAGCACAAGTAATTGTGTACACAAAGGCAGTTGTACCCCATGCTAAAACTAACAATTTTCATCCCCATACTTGAGTTGTGTTGTCTGTCATTAAAATGTCTGTTTTGTCTCATAGAAACCACAATAGTTATCGTTACTGTGCTGTCTTCCAAATGAATACAGTGGCCAAATAATTAACTATCATTCACTAGGGGCAATCTTTTCATTGTACTTTCACTATAATTAAATAAAGTTACAAAAAGCTGAAGGCCAGTACGTGCCCATAAAGCAATTACTGGAGGAGGATGCAACTTTATTGACGCCAAGAATGGGTCAGGCGAGGTACACTATTCTTCAAGGAAAGAGAAGATTGATTTATATGGGGGGTATAACGTCCCAATACCACTGTATGATTATGATAGACGCCGCACTTGAGGGCTCCAGAAATTTCGACCACCTGGGGTTGTAACGTGCACCAGAAAAGAATAAGACGACGATGCGCCCCCAGGCTGCTTTAGGTGGCCAAAAGTATTTGCGCTTCTGCAACCCCTATGGCCCAGCATGCGATCAGGTGTTTGTCTTTGAGGTCTGAGCAATGCCGAACAGCCTCTCTTCGCACCTGTCGCTCAGTTTCCATAAAGGGGGGGAAAAAACATTGAGTAAGAACTTCATTTCATTATGTGGCACTGACCAACAGAAAAAGTTGCTACTGTGCGCAGCTGTTAAAGACTTGAGCAACTGTACAAATAGAGACTGTGTAAAACTCTCTCTGCTGGTTGCTTTTCAGCATGAAATTGTAGGACGCATTAACTGACTGAAATAAGATCAAAAAGTGACAGAAAAGTGTGGAGTAGATGTACACTTGCTTGAAATTATATTGTCCTCCATCTGGTTGTGCAGATTCCTTAAGCAGAGCCAACCGCGGCATGTGGAGGCAGCGTTCGTTGCCCCGCCTGACCGTATAAAGAGTGCGCCAGTTGACGGTGAGCAGCCACCGCACAAGAAGCTGCGTGGCCAAAACCATAGCCGGCCACACCACCGGCCACAACCACAGTCAGCCAAGCTCTGTTTCCGGCACCTGGCCAAAGAAGGCTCCTGCCCACATGGGGAGCAGTGTCGATACAGCCACGACCTTCAGGTGTGTTTATCGAGTGCAAGTCAGGCACTTCTTTTTCGCAGCTTTGTAAAGCTTTGCTGTGGTTGGAAGAATGAATGGGTGAAATGGGCAGTGTGTGGTAGCGCCACGTCACTGAACACTTGATGACTGTGAGGTGGCATGCTCTCCTCACATTCTTTTTCCTGAAATCGGATCTGCGCTACAAATGGGATTCACTCGCTCAAGCCAGTGTAGAGCAACCTAGTGGCCTTCTGTTACTATCTTGTGTACTCTGCATTGGCAAGGCTAGTGTGTGTGTCATCTCCTCAGTTATCTCAGGATTGGCAGTGAAAGTGTTACTAGGGTAGATTATTTTTGCTAAGTACCGTCACTGTGAAACAAAATCTCAGATGTGGTTCGGTTCGCTGATGTGAGTAGTGTGAATCGCTACATGTATGTGTAATGCAGGCATTCCTGTCATCGAAGCCTGCTGACCTAGGAGACAAGTGCCCTCTAGTGGAAGCACATGGTGGCTGCCGCTATGGGGCTGTCTGCCGCTTTGCAGAAGCACACCCAGGGGGTGCTACTGCAGCACCCCACTCGGTCGATGGCATCTCCGGGACTGCGGGAGAGTGCAATGTCTTGAGCAAAGAACTCCAACAGGCACTCAGGAAGAGGCAGTTTGACTTTGGATCATCCACAAAGGTGCTACCGCAAATGTTGATAGGCTACTTGTTTTCGTTGTTTCAGTGGGCTAGTAAATAACGCAGACGTCCAAAAATTGTTATGAAGAGATATATTCACTCTTGCTATGTGAACATGCTGCCTCAAAAGTTGGGCAAGCACGTCCTTTATTAAGGAATTCACAGGGGTTAGAACTTCTGTTTCAGCTCGTTTGAAATTTTCGCGTGGCCTTGTCGCTCTTCTTTGCTATACAAGGGGAAGGTGCAGTCTGTCGTTGTGACTCCGCCAACTTCAGCACCGTGGCACAATGCCAGCGAACGTCATCAGCACATGTCATAGCGACACTGGGAGGAAGTGCAGTTTCAAGAGCACTTAAAGGAGACACCTCTTTATCTTAGAGGCTTTCGTTCGGACAATACCGCTTCTTCTGGTAGTCTCAGGCTCTCCAAAACGGCAAAGGGCAGCACAGGAAAATTATAATGCGGACTGCGCAGCTGAAACTACACCACCGCAAGGCCAAAGCGCTATTTCGTTGAACAAAGGATCAATTGACGAACTTGGTGATTCGTAAAGTTGCCCATGACTGAGTTTGTGTCACTGCTCATATGGGGGGGATTGGTCAGGTGAAGAAAATTGGCGGGTAACTTGGTTTTGCTGTAAGCTTCGGAAAATGGGATCGCCTGGTCTACTCTACAAATCGACGAGCTTGTTTGAAGGGCGTAAAAAGAAAGTTGGAGCCTGTGTACTGCCTCTTTGAAGACCCGCTTGCTATGCAGATTCTCATAGTAAAACCGCATCTATAATGTACTGCAAACAAGTTCCCAAAGGTTTTTGTGGGAGGTATTTTCTTTTGTTGCACTCGTTACAATAATGCAGTGATTCCACTCCTGCGCCAAAATGTGCCAAATTAGATTTTCCGTGTCATCCTGATAATATCAACGAAAATTGCGCCAAAGTAGTATTTGGAAACGTCTATCACCGGCAAACAGCCACGCCGACTCATCAAGACATGTGCATCTTGTTCTCGGCGCCACTAAAGTCAATCGCGTGCCTAAAATTATTCTGCTAAATTAACATCGGTCGCGCGTGCGTCCTAAGTAATCCAGTGCTATGTTTCGTGCTGACGCAACTTCTATTGTGCATTAACGGTCAAACGCACTCTCCGCGGGGCTTGTGATGTCTAGTTCAATCAGTGCGTTAAACTGTGGCGGTGATTCGTCGGTGTACTTCTTCATATCGCGGTCTGATTTCCCACCCTTTGCGTCCACAGAAGAACACGTGCACAGTGGAAACGTGTTGACACTTTTTCTTTAATATACATTATTCATGGATCTTCATTCAGAAGTTCATTTTCGGAAATCCTTCTACCAGCACATCCGCACCTGTAATCACTGTTGCAGTAAAAGCTCCTAAAATACCCTGTCATTTTGAAGTTGAGATTGCTAGGGTTAATATTCAAAATTTCCGCAAGGTTCTTTTTTTTTATGTCATCTCATTACTGAAATCACGCTTCCTGGACCGAGCAGCCGGAATTTAGTTTTAATACACACAGCTTTCAATAGTAATTGGTATGTGGGTTTTCACGCCCCGAAACCATGCTATCAATAGTAAGGCTATCGCTGGCAGCTCAGGGGTCTGAAGGCCCACAGTGAAGCGGCCATGCCTTGTTACACGTCCGTCTCTCGCTTTTCAAGGTCAATAGCTGATGGTTCAAAAAATTAAAAATCACATCATCACATTGTTTTGAGGAGTGAGAGGAGGAATGGCAGGAGCTGCATTGCTTGAGCTGCAGCTCAAGCAATGCAGCTTCTGCCATCCCCCTCTTCGCGAGCGTGCAATCCCCCTCTTCGCGAGCGTGCAATCCCCCTCTTCGCGAGCGGCACATTCGCGAGCGTGCAAGCCTAATCAGACATGCTCCTAAACTTTCTGTGCTGCTACAACCTCCGCTCTGCATTTAGATAATTGACAGTGCTAAAACCGCTTCGGCAATTAGAGTGATCATTGTCCCTTTAGCCAGCGTTCATCTGAGTTATGCAACATCGTGTCCAAAAAATACTATTTGTTAGTTTCACTTAGGCTCTTAGCAATGCATGCGACGATACCAACAGTGTTCGCATTGAGAGTATAAGATAGAAGGGTATAACAGCCGTCTTTAATGCTTGCCGAATTAGGGCGAGGACCAGTGATCACGCACAAACCACATAACAACGCCCCTCCCCCCCCTTGCATTCCTAGTTCCTTCCTGCTTTTTAAAGATGGTTGCTCGTTCCTCTCTGCTTCAGTAACTATCAGTGGCAGGCCTTGCACATGGGGTGTGCATAGAAGGTAGGTCGGCTTTTTTATTGCGATAATAATTATATCAACATTGTCGGCTGGTTTTCTGCCGCCGTCATCTTCATTCACTGTATATGTATACATATCTATATATATGAAAACTCAAGAAAGATTGAAAAAAGCTGCCCGCTCTTAGCGCCCAGCTCGTGACAAAGCGCCGACGCGCACTTACAGCGCACGCTCACTTTGCCCAGCAAGAGGGGGGCGGTAGAGGGTTGTGCATGCGCTCATGTTAAGTCTCGAGTGATAAATGTTGTTAGTTCGCTCTCGTCCTGGTATGTTGTTTGTGTGAGTCACTTGTGCATGAGCAGCGTGCTGCATGTTTTGATCTGCTTGCCGTTCTCAGCGCCACATTCCAAGTTGTTGCTATCACATTCATTGCTATCCTATTCATTGCTTTGCCCTTGCATTGAAGCTGTGTCTTCTTCATCTCTGCGTTAGCTGCATTCATCACCCCTGCTTGCGTGCTATTGCCCGCTTGTAAAACACTTGATGCGTGGAGGGATTTTATCGATGGGATATTACACAAAACATGACGGCGACGGCCAGTGGCATAGCCAAGCAGAGGAAGAAGGGGGCACATCGGGAACGAGCCCTCCCCCTACCCCTAAAATATTGTTTTGCCATGGCATATACGGGGTGCCCCAGCTATCCTTAGCCAAAGTTTAAATAAAGGCTGACACATGCAATCATGATGCGACCAAGTGCATGTTGCTGACTGTTGCTTGGAGTTATAGTAGTTTTTGTGTTCAGAAATATTCTTTAGTTAGATCTGTTTAATTAACCAACTTTTGAAAGAACGAAGATGAATAAAAAGTTTCATTGAGAAAGTTTAGATCGCTTTGCAAAATGTCTGATTAGACAGTTGTGGAGATTATATCTGTTAGTTATTAGTGTTTTTATGCTAGCTACAAATGCCCGCAAAATACTAAAGAATTTCACGTGAAAAACCCACTGGTGCGCCTATGTGCCCCGCATTTCCGGTGCTTTCTAAAGTGCCGCGTACGAACAACACGCTTCCCTCGCACCGGTTTATGACAGCGATAAGCAGTCACAGCAGTTATCGCTTTTGCGGCCAGTAGCAAAACGTGTGTGTCGCAAAGCCGCCACCATCGTTGCGGCCCTGTTGAGTCAGCACAATTCGGCAAATGCTATTGTCATTCGTATGTGAAACGTTAGGAAGCACTAGAATTATCGTGTGCACTGGCGCGAGAACGGGTTTGTCACGTGGTATTTTTTTATATTTTGCGGGCATTTTTAGTTAGCAGAAAAACACTACCCTAATTACTCGAATCTAACGCGCACCTTTTTTCCGGTTAAGCGAGTTCATAAATCGCATGCGCGTTAGAATCGAGTACGAACAAAAAAATTACGGCCAATCTATTGCCATCGGCAAATCTAAAATGGCCGCCCCCTACGTGCGTCGGCATGGCGCGTCGTCCATTTCTGCCTATGTGTTTCTCAAGTGCGGCACTTCGTACGTGTGCTGAGGAATTCGTGATCTAGTAGTGCATTAGCATCGACGGCGTGGAATGGCCGACTCCAAAAACTCGAGTGCACCATGATGCCGCTTTTAAAAGAAAAGTCATCGTGTGTGCAGAAACGGACGGAAATCGGGCCGCATCGCGGTCGTTCGGAGTTCCCGAAACGTGCGTGCGGGACCGGCGGAAACAAAAGCAGAAGATTTTCGACGGCAAAGCTTTACGCAATGGCTTCAGTGGACCACAGCAGGGTCGGTTTCCGCAAATTAAAGAGCTGCTCGGCGAGTATGTGCTTTAGCAGCGAGCAGCACAGCGGCCCGTGACGGCAGAACTGCTCCAAGTGCGGGCTGTGCAATTAGTCTTAGAAAAATGTCTAATGCGGAGCCAGTTTTAAGCGAGCAGGTGCTGGCTAACTAACTTTATGAAGAGGAAAGGCTTTTCCCTCCGAAGGGGAACATGCATATGCGAAAAGTTTTGCGGAGGAGTACGATGAAAAGTTTCACAGTTTTCAGAGGTTCGTCCTAAACTTGCGGTGCAACAACGACTACCTGCTTGGGCAAATCGGGAATGCCGATCAGGCGCCTCTTTACTTCGACATGCCTGGCACCACAACCGTCGAGAAGAAGGGGGCGAAGCAAGTTCGCGTGCTGACATCGGTCCACGGTAAAACTACAGTGACGGCAATGCTCTGTTACACGTCAGATGGGCACAAGCTTCGCCCGTACCTCATATTTAAATGGAAGACGCTCCCGAAAGGAGTCGTTTTTTCGAGTGGTGTGATCGTGCGGGCCAGCGAGAAAAAATGGGTGCGCGTTGCAATCGATGTCTTACGTTTTTTTTTTTTCGCGGTGGAAATCGGGTGCGCGTTACAATCGAGGGCGCGGTAGAATCGAGTAAATACGGTAATTTACAGATGTAATGTTCAAATCTGTCTAAAAGGACGTCTTGCAAAGTGACTTACAACTTTCTAATTGAAATTTTTTTATGCATATTCATTCTCTCAAAAGTTAGTTAATAAACAGATCAAATAAACTATTATCTTAGAACACAAAAACTAGTCTGACAATGTGGGGATCTGAGGCGCGCCCGCGACCATTTTCGCGGGCATTTCGCCACACGGCCACACCCTTTTGCTTTCCTGCCCTGTTAACACCACGTGGCGATAGATGGCGCCACGTGCGGGCACGGCGCGCGGTACGCGCGCGC